TGTGTGTACATGAAGCAGTAGTGCCTAACAGTTTCATGTTTGTAAAATCCAGCCAACACTAACACAGTCCTGCGGTGCTTCACTCACCCGCAGCTCCTCAGCTCAGCTCGCAGAAAGAAATTCAGCTCCAAACTCACTTTGCGCGCTCGGCCCGGCCTTGGTGTCCACACACTTCTTTCTTTCTCCTACTGCCCCGTGGATAGTTTACTTGTTTCCATAGTAACTGTGAGTGTACGCTCTCCTGCCTGTCACATCCCGTGACACACATGGAGGCGGTGATGTGGGTGCAGAGAAAACCACAGAGTAGTTCGTGCGCAGCGCGCAGTGTGCGGGCCTCACCCGCTCTAATGATGACAGACGTGGTGCAGAAGTCCTGACACTGCAGTTACTATAACGACCATCTGCTCCGCATCGGCTGACACAGCAACCAAAGAAAGCCAGAAAAACAAAGCATTATTATTTACTGTTTATAAGCCCGGACAAACGAATCTGTTTACGGAGGAATAACCAACAGTTGGTGTGTAGTTAGAATCATAAACCAGCAGCATCTTCAGGGCTGTGTCTGCTGTGTCCCGCAGTCCTCCTTCACGCTTTCACTCGCAGCAGTCTCACAAGTTTCTGATTCAAAGCCTGCTCGTTCTCGGATGGGCGGTCGCGCGCAACGAGGACAGAAAACCTGCTGCGAAGAAAAACGGAGAACTGCGTCAAGTTAGACACGCAGGAGTGGAACCGGAAACAAGAGCCCCGTGCCTTCAGAGTAATAGTTCGCTCTTTATTGGACTGACGAAGAAACGTTTGTTTCACTGGAAAAGCAAAGACACCAAGAAGTCTTTCAACGTCTCTCTGACGAGATTTAAAGATTTGTCCTTCTCTCCGTCTTTCTGCGAGCCGCTTAAACCTGACCTGTGACCTGTCAGCATGAAACAAGTCACCTAACACAGCCGCTGTTTTCTCTACACATAACAGACAGGACGTCAGCAAAGAAGCAGTTTTAAATATATGTATGTTTAAGCACTAAGCACTAGCAACCAGTCGCAAAAGCATATTTGGTCCCAAAAATTTAGCTGAACCTACAAACGCCACCGACAGCAACACAGTTTGGCACCAAACGATTACTTTGCACCATTAAGATGTTTCCCAAAGAGCTGTTAGCTGGAAACTATCACAGTAAAACCAAAAACCAGCCATATTACACAAATTCAGAATTGTGAAATTTACTACACAAATGTCTTAATGTAAACTTAAGAGCACAACTGTTTGGCTTTAACTATGTACTCGCTGGATTATATCATTTTGAAAACTAGACACGTGGAGGACAAACAGGAAGCTGTCAGCCAAAACCAAAACCTTTTGCAGCAGATCCCAATATCTAAACGTCATGTCCTTAAGAAACAAGGGAAAAATCCACCCAAGACCTGACACGGGATCTGAGAGATGCATCTGGAGCTTCAGATAATCCGTCTACTGTTCACTGACGCTCCATCAGAAATGCTTTCAGTTGAAGGGCGGCTGCCAAGAAGCCATTGTTCAGGAAGTGAAACAGGGAGAAAAGGCTGAGGTATGCCACTTCACACAAGAACTGGATTGAAAATCAATGACAACAGGTCGGATGTGAAATTCTTTGTTTCAAGTATTGGATTAATCAGTGTGTCGAGGGGTCATCAGGAAAGAGGTACAAGAAGAAGTCTCTACAACCATGTTTAAAACAGTGGAGGCTCTGTCGTGGTTCGGGGCTGCTTTTCAGACAGTGCTGTTGGAGATCTTGTCAAAACTGATTGAATTATGAACACAGAAAAGCACCGTCAAGTTTTCATCCACCATGCAGTCCCAGGTGGAAAGAATCTGATCCCAAACACACTGCCAATGCAGGAAAAACATACCTGGATAGAAACGCAAGACCTCTGTCTAACAAAATAAATAAATCTGGGTACATTCAGATGATTAAACATGCAACTATTTTTACCTGAAATGAGTAAAGAAAATCAACAGCCTATCAATGCAAGATAATTCATAATTTTATTGGGGGGCTTATATTGGTTGGGTCTGATTATTAGGAGGGGGGTCATAACCCCCCTGGAAATTACACCCTTGTTTGAATGTCCTTCAAGAAGCCTGAGAACTATTCCTGAAGATATTTAAAGAAATGACAAGAAAGCTTGACTCTGGGAGTTCAGGCTGAGTTGTTGTCATATCAAATGTAAATCATTTAAGCACAATTTTCAACACTTTTAACTTTTATTGTTAAACTAAAAATAGTTTTTATATTTTTGTATGTTGCAATAAAATGGGCCAACATCCGCGACTAAGGTGGCAAACAGCGCTTCTTTCATGTGTATTCAGCTCGACTAAAGGTAACTGTAGTCGTGTTTTGGCTTCCACGAAGTCGGGCGTTTGTTGAAGAGGCTTTTAATTTGGTAGTCCGTAGCGGAAGCCGTTAAAAAAGTCTCGCGCACTTGTCGCTCTGTGTAGAGGGGGGAGGACGGGGGAGGACGGAGGAAGAGGACAAGAGGAGGAGAGGAGGGTGCTGGTGGAGGGACATTCAGTCATTGTTACCAACTCGAGGAGCGGCGAAGACCTCGCTTACTCCCCGAATTTTGCGGACAGCCTTCAGGTAAAGTTGCGTTGAATTCAGCGGGTGTGGAGGTGTTACTCGTAGAGCACCACCTCCGCTGCCGCCCGGCTCGGTGACTGAATGCACCGGTGCGGAGCGGTTACCGTGAGTCAGGATGAACTAACCGTCATCTTTTGTCTGCGCCGCGCCGCGTTCACGCTTCTCTCGGCTCAGGTCGCTCGTTTTCAGTTTCAGCGGGAACCGCGACGAGCCTCCGTGTAACGCTCGGCAGCTACGCTCCCGTTTATGAGCCGCAATTAGTGTCCGAGTCCCGGCGAGGAGCTATAGGAGGAGCCCGTTAGCGCTGACGCACAGGTAGGCTAATGGACGCGCTGGTGTCGCGGTAATAATGAAAGTTGAAGTGCGGCCCGGGTTAGACACCGGCAGGTGCGACGGAGCAGAGACCGTGTTTGACGTGTTGGTCGCGGGGAAAGGTGCGGGGCTGGGAAGGGTGTGTGCTGCAGCGATGGATAAAAATGTGCTCTATAAATAAATAACTTTAATAAATGACTTAAACAGTTTCTGAGCTGTGATTAGTGCAGATAGCAGAGTAAAATAATAATATTAATAATGGTGGGAGGTGTCGACTGCTGCTATTACCACTGTTATTACTACAGAAGTAATAACAGAGTAAATCTCTTTAAATACTCGCTCATTTGCTTATTTATTCACTGGGTTTTAAGGATCTATTGCTGTTTAATAATGCATTTAATGTGGGCATTGATGGGCAGAACCCAGCCATAGTTAGTGACCTGGAAAGCAGCCGTTTGTGTTGCTGCTCTGCTTACAATTACTCCAATTTTTCAGTTAAAAGGTTTCCTTTTGGTTTGCACTTGTTGTAATTAACGGACCACTAATGTCTAACCATTTACATTTACAAGCTGCTGTACTGTATTCTTCTGATTGCAGGCAGAGCATCGTTTCCACAGGGGATCATATTTCCTCCAGCATCATCGCCGTCTGTGAAGGCAGGAGAGTGTTTTCAGCATATTAAAGGACCACAGCATCACCTAGGTGATGGAGGCCCTGTGACTCAGTGTAGTCATGGTGATGGATGCAGCCAACTTGGCCCTGTTGGATTACGCTGCCCAGCCCATGGTGTTTCTCTGTGATCTAACGAGGAGGAAGGGGCACACAGATAGTCCTTAAGTCTGGTCATTTTTCCCACTTCCTGGTTAAAAGCCCACGATGCTGACGGGGCTCGAGCCCTCTCCGTGAGCCGTCGTCTCCTGGGTCTTGCTTCTTTTCTCCCGTACGGATCATGGATCTGCTGTGGGTGCTTTCCGTGTCCATGCTGACCGTGTGTGTCGCCGTCCCCATGGATGCCGTGGCCGGGAGCCACAGTCTGTTCACCTGTGAGCCCATCACCCTGCGCATGTGTCAGGGGCTGCCCTACAACTCCACCTTCATGCCCAACGTCCTGAACCACTACGACCAGCAAACTGCTGCTCTCGCCATGGAGGTACGGTACATCGCTGCCATGTGATCTGAGAAAGACAAAC